CGTCCCCCGCTCCTGCTAAGTAATACAAACGGCTTTGAACATTTCAAAGAAACCCTCCAAAGGGCACCAAGTCAAATCCCGTCCCCTTCCCTCCGCTCATCAACCCCGTCCTTTGCCTCCTGTTACCGCTTCCCGTCTGGAAAAGGTGCTGCTGACAGCCGGGTCTCAGCTGGGCCCACGGAGCCCTTTCCTGCGGGAAATGATGGAAATTCCTGGCATTCTCATCTCTGTTGGTCAACTGCGCAGCGTCAGCCTCCTGAGGGCGGGGGAGAGGGGTGCTCAGCCCTCCTCGATGTTGGAGGAGGACAGCTTCTCACTGGCACCCTCCCTAAACCGGAAGAGGAAGCCAGGCTTCCCAGAAGAGTCCCTAGATGTGAGTGTTCACTTTGAGCAGCTTGCCAAAGTCACCTCGGCATCCCCTTGGTAGACTCTTTCAGGCAGTCCTCTCTGCACTGGGCTGGGGGTGCAGCTCAGTGGGAGAACTTAGCATGCACAAGGCCCCAGGTTCGAGTCCCAGCACTACCAGTAGATTCAGCCCTGGATTGTACTGTTAAAAATACTCTTGTTACCAGGTATGATGGTGCATGCCTGTTATCCCAGCACTCGGGAGGCTGAGGCAGGAAGATGGAGGATCATTGCAAGTTGCAAGTTCAAGGCCAGCCTGAGCTACGAAGTCAGAGGAAAACTCTGTCTCAAAAAAAAAAAAAGAAAACCTCTTGGCATCTTGAGTGCAGCCGCACCTAACTGCAGTGCAGCTACTTGGGAGCCTGAGGCGGAAAGATCATTTGAGGGGTTCAAGGCCAGCCTGGGTTACATACAGAAGACCCTGTCTCTCCATCCACAAAGATACCATCCTTGCTGATCTGAAATTATTTTTCAGGGTAAGGAAAAAACCAGGTTTACTTGAAGCTATAGCTATAAGTGGGCTGTGAAGTTGTGGATAAACACAACTAACTGTTCAAGGACACACTTTAAAGAGCAAACTTACAGGCCTGAAAGGAAAAGGCATCTGATGACACACGTTTTGGCCTGGAACCCCTAAATACTTTTTCAGTACTTCCCTTCGAACTGTTCTGATTCATTTCCACCAAACACTTGAGCTCTGCTCCAGGGAGAATGCGTTCTTTCAGTTTTTGTTACTGTTTCAGTTTGCAGTCTTTCCGATCTTTTTCTCCCATAGCCATAGCCGTTAATAACCCCTACCCCTGAGCCGCAGGGAAGGAATTTTGTCCGTTTTGTTTGTCAAACACAATCAGCAAATGTTCCAGCTGCCCGAAGCCACTCCCTGTGAGCCCTTAAATTCACCCATGATCTTCACAGGCTGAGCCATGCACGGCTTGCTCCTCCATCAGGCCAACGTGGGCATCCGTCACACCGGGTCTCAATCCAATCAGTGACGCTCAGTCAGCCTAGTGTCCCCAGCACACACAGGGGCCGAGTGAGTCCAATACAGCAGCCCAGGGCAACCAGCCTGGTGCTAATTCTCTCTGCCTTTGAGCTACATGTGAAGATGAGGGATTCCGGGGCAGTAAATAGGATATAAGTAGAAAGGTATCATTGCTGGATGTGTCATACTCTATGGATGGGAAGTAAACATGGATAGACTGGTACCTCACATCCCAGCGAAGGAATTCTGCCAAATTGTGGCCACAGTTTCACCTCAATTAGCTCTGCAGATGGAGGCCAAGAAATGTTGACCCCCAAAGCCTGATTAAAGCCTGAAAATGCTCCCTTAATTAACTCTTCAGCATTTCCCTTCACTGGAGCTTTTGTGACAGCAGCAAATTAGTGGTGAACACATCAGACTTAACGCCGGCTCTTTTCCAGGCACCTGCCCGGGACGCTGGGAATGGGGCTAACAACTCTGACATAGGAAAGGGCTGAAGGAAAACAGAAAACAAGCGCAATAATGAGTCCAAGAATAAACAAGGGGTGATTGTGCTAAAATAATGCAACACCAGACCAGATCACCGGAAAGGGCCATGCATTTTGTTCTTTAGGATAATACTATGCCGAAGTTGAAAATGCAGAATATTACGATAGAAAGAGCCTTGACTTTACATAGCAAATGCTTCTGAACAACTCTGGAAATAAGCGGACCCGGTAATGACTTGCTAAAACAACGGCCCCCTTGTACAGAGAATAATGAACCCCTGGCTCATCTGTAGGCCAACAGACTTGAGCTGTGTTTAGTGTACTTGCATAAACAAGACATGCCTAAAATCAGAAATTAGACAACAGCTAACCTCTGTGTTACCTGGTCTCCTTTTACAAAAATGAAAGCCTGCACACACACACACACACACACACACACACACACACACAAATGCGGGCGCACCACAGCGTCAGGTATCTCGTGTAACCTCACAGATCTGCAAGGCAGACTTCCCTCCCAGGGGGTGTCACTTGCTTACTGGGCGAAGGCAGCACCTGAGGCTCACAGAGTTGAAGTAACTGGTGTCCAGTCACAAGAGTCACTAGGAACAGGACCTAGAGAGAGGCCTAGCCCATCTCCAGACACCTTCTAGCCCCGCCTCACTACCAACCCGCCACACAAAAGGGGCAGATCTCTAAAGGCTGACATGTAGCCATACCTGAGGGAATGGGTTCTTAGCTGCTGCTCAATTCGACAACCAGATGTGGCCTCTTCTTAGGAACCAACACCTACTTCCGTTTGAAGAAACAGGTCCCACCTCCTAGGCCCTGTAAAAGTGGCCAGGCCTCCCCAGGGGGGCCCAACTGGGTGCCCAGCCAGGTCCTCCACCAGGACACCAGCCATTGAGCTAGAAGGTGGAGAGACTTCTAATGGCCCAGCTAACTCACCTAAACAGGGGCACAGTCTCTCCTGTCTGTAAAATTAAAGGCTGATTTAAATCACCTCAAATCATCCTTAAACTCCTACTCTAGCCCTAGGTTGGATTTCCATCACACCACTGTGCCTCCAAGCTGGTTCCAAGGATTCCCCACCTCAGGCACAGCTCCTGTCACCCACTCCGAGGTTTCCGTTTCCATTCGGCCCTGTCCTCGGTTCGGTACTGCTCTCCTCCCGCCTCTCAGTTCCTGTTCTCCTCGGCCAGTAAATTCTGTCTCCTGAATCATCAGCTGGCAATTCTCACATCACACTTTAACCTGCAAATTAAAATCTCTTCAGCAACATACTGTTTTTTGTGTTTTTCACCAAATCCCTACCGATCTAGCTAGTTATGATTGTAAATTAATGAATTTCCCCAGGCTGGAGATTTAGCTCAGCGGCACAGAGCCTGCCTGACAAGCGCAAGGTCATGAGTTCGATTCCCAGTACCGGAAAAAAAGAACTTTCTCTCGAGGTCACTCTTTTTAAAGAGACTTTTTCTCCTTTATTTTACTAATTTATCTATTTATTTATTTATCTATTTATCTTTGACACTGGATCTCGATATGCCCCCCAGGCTGGCCTTGAACCCCAAGGCGCTCCTCTGCGAGCGCTGGGACTACAGGGATGCGCACCATGCCCGGCTCAGGACCTTTTCGCTTGATGCTTCACACTTCTACTGATTTCCACACTGTGCAGACATCAGTCCATGCTGCCTTGTTCTGGCCACTTTGAGCGCCCTCTTATCTCTGCCTTTTGATGTTTTGGTTTTGTGTTTCGTTTTCCTCTGCAATTCTTGGTTCCATCTCACTCCTGCTGCCACCTCCAGCGACTCCGCAGGGAGCAGCAGGAGGACCTGCTGCGGCCCCAGGAACAGGCCGAGTGAGGAGGAGGCGGAGGCGGAGGAAGAGGTGGGGAGAGGCCCGCGCCCACGGCGCGCCAGGGCATGAATGGAGACACCGTGGGCTCGGTGCCACCGCGTTCCCACCCCACAGGCGGCTTTCTTTCCCAGAAAGAAACAGAAGTTTCCAGAAGGAAAAATGTTCAAATAACGGGGGAGCCAGAGCAGCTGGGGGTTGTTAACACTAATCAAGGTCCAGCCAGGATTTTTTTAAGCAACAGGAAATAGATTCATTCCTTCATTCTCTCTCTCTCTCTCTCCCCCCCCACCCCTCTGCTGTAACGGACCCCAAACAGGGCGGCACAACAACACAAACTCCTTCTCTTTGCAATCTGGAAGCCTGAGGTCTGCAGCCCGCCTCCGCTGGCTGGAATGAAGCAGCTGGGTGGCTGCTGTCCTCTGGAGGCTCTGAACCCATTTCTTGGCGTTTTTCAGCTCAAGAGCCACCAATTCCTCCCCATGAGCCCCCCCACCGTCCTCCACTCCTGCTTCCGCCACACCCCTGCCGCTTGTCGTCGGACCTCCTGTGCCTGCTGCAGATTCTCCTAAGGACTCCCGTGATGGCATCTGGGGCCCACATAGGTGGCTCGGGACACTCCGCCCGTCTCAAACTCTTAACTTGATCACACAGACGACGACATTCAGGGCCCAGGATGTTGGCACCTTTGGGAGCCATGGCTCACCCGTCCCGAAGCACCTGTGTGTAGCTGGCTTTCTGGAGAAGCCTCCCTCCCTCCCGCCCACTGATGGATACTGAGCTATAGGAGCGCAGGCCTGAGCGACAGGCAAGACAGAGAATGAGGGTTTCTAAGGCACACACCTCTAGTCCCAGCAACCGCGGCAGAGGCAGGTGGATCGCCGTGAGTCCAAGGCCAGCCTGAACTACACAGGGGGATCCTGTCTCAAAACACCTAAATAAGTCAGTAAATACCGACACAGAGAAATCCCACGAATTCTGCCCCGGATTTTCCCTTTCCTGCCATACTCGGTCGCAAGCCATCTGCTCTGTATTCAGACCCACAAACATCACACCCTTCCCACACCTGGGCACAGCTCCTGGCCCACGGCCCCTCGGAGGGTGGCCGTCAGCTGCCTGTTCCACGCAGCCTCACTTCCCAAGCACCGGACCTCCGAGCCACAACGTTGCCAGGCGTGCAGGGTCCCACCGTGGGCTTATTCCCGCCTCTGAGGGCCTGTTACTGCGACCCAGGCTGAGCAGGGAGAAGACAGAGCTTTGCTGGAACTCACCAAACCTCTTGTAGCCGAAGGACTGCACCTCCTCCTCCTCTGCGAAGTCGTCTGCAGGAGAAAAGACACAGCGTTAGCCCGGCGCAGGGCACAGCGGCACAGGGGCTCGCGGCTCTGATGTTCCAGCTCTCTCCCCCGCCTCCCCCACGACGCCCATCTCAGTGGCTTCATTTCCGCTCCGGGGTGCCCAGGAGAAAGCCCGGAGCTAGACACGGGTCTCTGCACTGGCTGTGCCCACGGCCTGCAAAGCTTTCCCCAGGTCTGCCCGTTTTGCCACGCTGGGGGCTGAACCCACGGCCTTCGCAGTGAGCTGTATTTCCAGCTTGTTTTTATTTTGAGACAGGGTCTCGCTAAGTTAGACTGGCCTCGAACTTGCGATCCCCCTGCCTGAGCCGCCCGAGGACCTGGGGTTTTACGGAATGTACAAGTGTGCCCAGCCCTTCTGTTCTCAATGTACTTCTATTTTAGATCTCTGCTGCAGTGTGGCTTTACTTTCTTCTCTTTTTTTTCCCCCCTTTTTGAGACAGGGTCTCACTATGCAGTTCAGGCTGGCCTTGAGCTCACTTTGTAGCCCAGGCTGGAGTCGAACTCGAAACGATGCTCCTGCCTCAGCCTCCTGAGTGCTGGGATTACAGGCATGCGCCACCACACCTGGCAGTATGGCTCTTTCAAATTGCCCTTTTGCAGCTAGGTGTGCTGGTGCACACCTGTAATTCCAGCACTTGGGGCTGCTATGAGTTCAAGGCCACATAGCAAGACCTTGTCTCAAAAAAAAAGAAAAAAAAGGTGCCTCCGGAGCACTCAGCGGCTCTGTCACGCTGCCTTATCTCAGCATTACTCTCTGACGGCGTCCTCCTGTCTCCTGTGTGCAGGTGTGAGCTTATCACTGTCACTGTGCTGCCTGTGAGTGGGAACTTTCTACCTAGATTCCAGTGACTAAATTCCCAGTGCCTGCCTAAGGCCAAAGACTTAGTAACTGTTGAGTGAATGGCAAAGTGACCAATGTCCACGGGGTTACATCCTTAAAAGTCAAGTTCTCTGATCCAGTAGCGCTGGGCCCTGGGGCCACGGCTGCCACCAACTCTCAGGAGCCTCAGGAGGCCGGCAAAGTGCTGCAGGGACCCCCCGACCCTCCCCACACTGCTTCTGATGGGTCACGGGACCTGGCAACAGCTCCTGTGAACGTGTTCAACAGGGAGCCTGGCTGTGCGGTTCCTAAGCTCAGAGCCACCGAGGACACCAGAGAGCGGCTACGCTGTCCACACTTCTTCTGAAAGGCCCAACCCCCGTGGGCACAAGGTGACTCCTCACCACCTCCACAGAGAACTCTCACGCCACGCTTCTGCCAGCTGTGGGTCTGCAAAGGGCAAGCACTGTGCAGACAAAATGCCACATTAATTGTGCACCAAAGGACACTTTTTAACAAGTAAGAGATATCAAGGTGGCAAAGCCGGACCTTCCCCTCCATTTACAGTGGGGTTATGTCCCAATAAATCCAGTAGAAACTGGAAACACTGTAAGTCAAAATGCACTTAACACCTGCTGTGGTGGCCACACATCTATAATCCCGACGCCTGGGAGGCTGAGGCAGGAGGATTGCTGAATAGGAGAAGGGAGCTTGGGCTACATAGTGAGTTCAAGGCCAGCCTGAACTATAAAGCAAGACCCTCCTCCAAAACAAAACAAACAAAACCCCCAAGTGCATTGAACACAGGTCACCTACCCCACACCTTCGCTCAGGGTCACAGCATTCTGCAGCGCACTAGCTGTGCCCCTTGCAATCACGGGGCTGGTGGGGAACTGCTGCCACCCGGTATCACCAGGAAGTTCCGTGCTGCTTGTCACCAGCCCGGGAAAGGACCCAGATTCAAAGTACAGTTTCTACTGAATGTGTAAGTTTAAAAACTGCTGGAAGATTATTAACTCCAGACAGATCTTCAGCTTGCGCTCCGCCTAGCTCAGCCTCCCAAGGAACTGGGACAACAGGTGTGCACAGCCACGTGTTTTAGCTCGGAGTCTGGGTCTGGGAATACACCGGAGTTGGCTAGCGCTCCTGCCCCCGCCTCAGGCTCCTCCACACAGGCGGTTCACCACGGCAGCGTCTATCCAGCGCTCACTGTGGTCAGAGACCCCCAGGCCGTGGGATGAGTCACAGTCTCATCACCCAAGAAGCGCTCTGGCTATCAAGGGGAACACGAGGCTTCAGTGACAGTCTTGAGCTCCCACATGGGACATGCTTTGGCTAGAGCGGAACTCGAAATGGTACCGAGAATCCAGGACATGTGCCAATTATAACACCACGCTGAGAGCCATAGAATCGCGATTTGTTAGAAAGAATTTATAAAAACACACATGAAACTGGGCATGGTGGTGCACGCCTATAAACCCAGCACACCGAAGGCTGAGGCAGGAAGATTACAGCAAGTTCAAACCCAGCCTGGGTTGCACAGTTCAAGGCCATCCTGAACTATATATAGCATGACCCTGTCTCAAAAATAAATAGATAAATGATAAATAAAGACACAGGTGAGAAAACAATTGTTTCCAACAGAGAACCGAGAGGTGTGAGATCTTCATATTTTGCCCTTGTCTGATTATTCTGAGGACAAAAAGGGACGCTTTGGGATCTACAAGGCCAGACATTCATGACTGTCACAGTCTTCTTGTGTCTGGGTCAGAGCTTTAGCTCCTTCCGCGAGGAAGAGCATTCTTACCATCAGAATGGCCCTCGTCCCACCAACTCAGCAATCAGCTCAACAAGCACACATCAACCCCTTATTCTTTTTCTGCTCTACTTAGGAACCCAGCGTATTAATGGCCACAGAGTGGTCTATTCTCATTCATATTCTTTCTTTCTTTCTCTCTCTCTCTCTCTCTCTCTCTCTCTCTCTCTCTCTCTCTCGCTCTCTGAGACAGGGTCTTGCTCTGCACTCCAGGCCGGCCTTGAACTCACTATGTAGCCCCGGCTGGCCTCGATCTCGCCGCGATCCTCCCGCCTCAGCTTCTCCAGTGCTGGGATTACAGGCGTGCGCCACCGCACCTGGCTTACCCTCCAAGAGAAACCCTTGCCTGCCACTGCTGCTGCTGCTCAGATCCATTCACGCGCTCAGTCACTCACTCCATGCGGTCCTCAGCATCCTTGGGTACCATGGCTTAGGTGCCGCCCGCGAAACGGCGCAGTAGTAACACAGAACCTCCGGGCCTCCTCCCGTGCACTGCAGCGTCTCGATGACCCGCAATGCCTGACACGATGCAAGCGCTCAGAAGGACAAAAGGCTGGTACGCTTTATCGCATAAGGAGCAATGGCTGCGCAGGGAACACGTCTGCGCATGCTCAGTACGGACACACCTTCTTCCCCAAGTATTTCCACACGCAGCTGGCTGACCAGGGCGGGCGTCCGTGCGGGGGCAGACTGCACGCTCCGAGCCTGGCCTGGCTGGCGCCGTGTGGCTGTGTGATGCCACCCAGACCCCGGTGCGCCCTGCTGCCGAAGCCACTACCATGCCCCCTGCAGCACAGCCTCCTGGGACCCTGCGGGCTGCGGAGACCTCGCCGCAGGGCAGTGGGCTCGGGCTCCACCCCGGGCACGGGCCTGGCGTTACTGCTGTCCCCAAAGCTCTTTCCAGCAGGGTAACGGAGAGTTTGCTTGTTTGTTTGTTTGTTTTCTCTCTCGGATCTTTTTCCCACGCAGCAGCCCTTAGCCTGACTCTTCTCTCTTTCCTGAAGTTTCCCTGGGAATTTACATTGCTCATATTTTTGTTATTAAAGCAGTGCGGTTCTGTCCCTGCCTCTTCCCCCAAATAGCACACTCAATCCATCGGGGCTCAAGAAAACAAAGGCCTAGCAGGCGGCCACCCGTGCTAGTGCTCAGAAGGGTCTCCTCGTCTTGCCCGAACCCTCCTCCCAAAGGATTTGCCTTTTTCTTTCTTTTTTTTTTTTTCCTTTCACAAGGCTGAGCACTGAATCCAAGGCCTCAGCACTGAGCTACATCCCCAGCCCTTTTTATTTTAAGACACAACTTCCATAAATGGCCCAGGCTGGGCTCCCACTTGCAATCTTCCTGCCTCAGCCTCCCAGAGTGCTAGGATTACAGGTACGTGCCACTGTGCCCAGCTGGATTAGCCATTCTTATAACAGCTACTACAAGAATAAAAATATTTCTCGCTCACCCAGTACTGAAAGTCGATAGAAAATCACCCAAGATATGAGGTCAATGATTAAAACACTACGGGTAACTTCTGACTGGGATCACCCGGAAAGGACGTATAGAGGTGTTTTAGTTCAGTCTCGCTGGGTTTTGTGCTACTGGGGGAGGGTGGCTGAAAAATGATACATACTGCAACCCTTTCTGGGTAGCTCACAGTGGCTTTTTAACTATTTGGGACCCCGAGGAGCGTTAAGAGAGGGAAAACAAAAACTCCTTTGGCTTTGTTTTACTGAAGTGTTTTTAATCATTGACTCTAGATCCTCTTCTCCTATCCCTGAAAGTCAGGTGGCGTATGGGTCAGTAACGCTCTGTCTCAGTCAGCTTCAGCCACTAACAAATACCCCGACAGCCAAGCTAGACAGTTGTTTGTTCTGGCCGATGCCCTGGAGGCTCCAGTCCACGCTTCTGGGAGGCTGAGGCAGGAGCACTCCCCTCACAGCTGCACAGTGACAAAGCATAAAGGGAAGAGGCCAGGGTCCTAGGTCCCTTCTACTGTCACCCCCAATCACCTGAACCCAGCAGCCCCTCCTCAGGAACTTCCCTCTACTTCCCAGCAGGGGGCTAAGTCCCGCCCAGCCTCTGAGGGGCCTTCCAGAGCTGAATCCAGAGGCCTCCTCCCCAGGCCGGTGCCCCGCTGGGCCCGAGGAGAGATCTTCCCAGCTGCTGGCCCATTCACAAACAGCAGGGGAATCAGCTGGGTGGGCAGGGGCGCTGGGGACTTCAGGAGCCCACGGGCTCGTGGCTGTGTGGACACAGGGTGCCGCGGTCATGCAGGTGCCCGGAATTGGACGTTCCTGAGAGTGAAAGGCTACTGCAGGCCCCAAGCACCGACGGGCTGCGATT